AGAACAACTGGGTGGAACACCATGAATGCCTTCAAGGAGAGACTGTTTATATCTTATCCCCAATTGACCCTTCCTTTTGCTCCAGTAACAGTTGAGCAAGCCTCAGTCAGAACCTCGGCCAACTTCCTCCTTCTGATGTCCTAGGCTAATCTATGTTGAAAAGAATACCGCATTTTAAAGATGGTTAAAAGATAAAAGCAACATATATATATATAGCCACATCTTAAGTTAACTAATGTTAGCAAAACGTTAACCAGTGTTTTACTACAGAGCTAAACACTGCTAACTAGTGAGCTACTTTGCATCAATACTAAGATGTAACTATTTTATATCTACAGTATATATATAATTTTTATATGTCACTTTTATCTTTAATTTGAGACTAATCTTTAATTCTCTTCAAAATGTAGAGTGGTAAATGGACCTGTACATGCGCCTTTCTAGTCTTCCGACCACTTGAAGCGCTTTTTACACTACGTGCCACATTCACCCCTTTCACACAACACATTCACCTCAGTGATGGCAAAGTCCATCGAACAGAACTAACACACATCATACACATTCAACACCCAATGCTATGCATTCGGCAGTAATTTGGGGTTCAGTATCTTGCTCAAAGGGTACTTTCAACACGTGGCAGGAGGAGCCCGGGGATCGAACCATTGCAACCCTTTGTCCGATTGGGGTACGACCTGCTCTGCCTCTGAGCCAAAGCCACCCCCTATGTTGCATTTCCAACATAGATTAGCCTAGCACATAGCATATCTAATTACAGGAAAGGAGAAAGTTTACAGAGGTACCGAGATTGCTCAATTGTTATTGGAGCACAGAGCAAAAAGGGATGGAATTTAGAAGGGTCAATTGTATGATTCATCAAATCTCACTCCTCTGTGACGGCAGGATTTTCAGCACATCTTAGTGTGGCCATTCAGAACAGCTGTAAACACTTTTACCTTTAGGCATCATCAGATGACATTTCCAGCATACCCCAACCTCCAGAATAAAATGTGAGCAAACAGTGTTGATCAGCTATCCAACTGCAACAGGTACTGAAATGGAAGAGCTCATGGATCAACATGCATAGCCTGTTAGAGGTGCTTCAGACTAAAATACAGCAATTTATCTTAATAAATAAATAATTAAAAAAAACATGCTATATAGTACAGGAATACAATACCTGGGGAGAAAGGAGGCTGCTTTGGATTTCTCTGATTTTTCTTTCTTTGGCATAATCTATTAATCCAATCAGAAGTAGACAAAACACAAAAAGTTTGTTTGTTTTTCAAAGCAGGCTTGAGTAAAGCTTGTTATAGTCCTATGTGACGTATGTCAAATCAAACAGTGGCAGATAGACAGTTCACAGGCTAATAAATTACTCAACTTTTTTTTAGTTTTAGAACCAATGTGAGCCCTCACTGTAGAAGTTCTCCTTGTAGGACAGTGATGTCTGTCTTTCTTCACTGTTTGCGACTTTGTTGCATCAGTGCTGTTATTAAGTGCTTTTTTATTAACCCTTTAATGTATGGGTATTTTTCAAACATTCCCTCATATTAAAGTCATAAATATATAAATAAATATATTTTTGGCACTTATGAAACGTTTACAATCATTTGTAAATGTCCTGGTACATTGTATGTTTCTATTGTAACTTCTCATAGACTGACCCCTGCCAAACACCATTTCAGCACAATAACAACACAGTCACTTACTTGTTGTCACGACAATATGGTTGTATGCACTGCACTCACTACCACAAGTCATGGCGCCTCTTTTCTTGCCAGCCATGGCAACAACAGCTAAAGGCCAAGGTTTTCCAGGAAAGGACACATGAGACATCCTTTGACTGGCCAAGTTGGAAATTTAGCAAAGAAAACTACTTCGTGTTTGCATACTTGCAAGGTGGAGGCAGCTGCGCTAAGAAGGCTTTAGTCTTCTCTTTGGACTGCTACTTACTGGTATGTTGACTGTTGCTGAAGTGCTTCAGTTCTGCTTTTAAAGGTCCAGTGTCTAATATTTATGGATCTATTGGCAGAAATAGAATATACTGTTCATAGGTATGTTTCATTAGTGTATAATCACCTAAATATAGGAATTGTTGTGTTTTTATTATCTTAGAGTGAGCCACTGACTGTTTAAACCTTCCATGGAGTCTGCCCTGTTGAATCACCGTGTTTCTACAGTAGCACAAAATGGACAAAATGGACAAAATGGACAGGGGCGGCTGTGGTGCAGAGGCAGAGCGGGTCGTCCCCTAATCAGAAGGTTATTGGTTCGATCCCTGGCTCCTGGTGCTCCTTGAGCAAGATACTCAACCCCAAATTGCTCCCGATGCTGTGCATTGGTGTGTGAATGTGTGCGAAAGGGTGAATGTGGCATGTAGTTTAAAAGCGCTTGCTGAGTGGTCAGAAGACTAGAAAGGTGCTATACAAGTACAGGTCCATTTACCATTTACAAACCAAACACTGGTACATAGGAACGTTTGGGTCTTCGTGGCCACGGTAGTTTCTCCTACACCCTGTAGCTGAACGTGGCTCACTCTAAGGTAACAAAAACACATTGAATTCATCAAGAAAAACAAACTCCTCATCATAAGAAACATCCGGTCTTCAAATATTAAGGAAAGTGCGCCATCATGTTAATGTGATAGTAAGCTAATATAGTTAATTTTCATCATTACAGCAACAGTGAGACAACAGTGCCATCATGAGTCCAAACAGGAAAACACAACATAACCTGCTATTACTTGCATCCAGCATATTGTTAATAAAACATGTAACACTCGTACACTCTGGTCTCTGGCAACCATATAAACTTTTTAGAGAAAGAAAACATCAGAAAAACAATGATTTTTGACAAAGACAAATTTGAGGAATACTAGGGAGTTGAGTGCTTAGCTGAATAAAAATCAATGAATTACACAGGAAGTGACATAGTCACCGGTTGCTAAAGACCAGAGTTACACATTTAGAGGTTAATCTAAGCACTGGTGACAGATGCAGTGTTTCCAGGAAGTAAATAGTGATAGTGCTTCATTTCACATGGGAATTTACAGTGATGTGATGTATTTCCTGTTGAAACAGAATGCTGACGCTAGACATGACCAGGGCTGTAGCCAGGATTTTAGGAATATCCCCACCCAATCCGAGAACATTTTGAAGACTGTAGTATAAATCTATGCCATTTATTGCTCTTTAAGAGTACCACTAATCACTTAGGAAATAATGTCAGTCAACACACAGATAAAAATTGTACTGTAACTTACTGCCCAGTTTATCATTTACACAGTTTCAACTTAAATCATTTAAGTTTATTAACTCAAACAATTTAAGCATTAAAAAAAATGGATTTGAGTACAATTAAATCAAGTATTCATTGTTACGGTAGTATGTCACACTCATATGTAGGATTTCTACAAACTTATTTAAAATGTGTTGACAGAATTTATCAGAATAAACTTAACTTAAATCGATCTTCTTTATACAAATGTTATTACATTACATTACATTACATGTGATGTTACACAGTTGATTTTACAATCAATTCATTATCCAAATGGTCAAATCACAAAAATGAAAACCTCCTAAGCTACACAGTGTTGTAGCACTGCAGGGCTTTTTTATAATTATATAAAGCAATCTTAAAGAAAATTTGTCAATGGAACCAACTGAAATTATATGACCAATACTTGAAATACTGCAGAGATTTACTTCACTCAAAACAACTGAGTTATTACTTAAGCAGGTCTTTTGAGTTCATGAGATTGAGATTGAACAAAGGGACATCAGTTAGAAAGTGAAAGACTGCAGTGTGATGCAAAACCAGTGATTGTGCAATGAGCTGAAATTAAATGATCTTTATACTGGACAGCTCATAATGACATTATCAGTTTATAAAGTTATGGTAGACATGTCATTTCCACATTCAGGAGACTAAATGATCATTCATGTTTTGGAGTTGTGTTTGTGTCCACCTGATGACTCTAGCTGATCTACTCTAACACTTTAGCTATGCTCCACTGTGGTCACCAGTCAGCCCATAACTGTGCCTGTCTGCTAATTGTCAGTACAAGCAACACCTTTGATATCACACATATTTTGTTGATTGGTAAAGATCCTCACAGGACATGTATGAAAGGACCATTATGTAGGATTTAGTGGCATCATTTATTATGTTTCATTAAAGCTGTAGTAGGTACTTTTTATAAAAAAAAATATGTTTTGTCATAATTGCTAAATATGATAAAAAATGTGTTCCTCTGGCTCCTCCTTGTGCTCCTAATGACATTTGCAAAAGACACATTGACACATTACACTTGAGCCTGAACAAAAGCAACCAATCAGAGCCAAGAAAGATAGTTGAATGTTGAGTTTCATTCCCAGGGTGTCAAATACAGATGCTTTGAGACTCAACAATCAATTTTCTTTGGGCCTTCAACCCAAAATGTCTTCATATTGCTCTGATTGGTTGGTTTTGTTCAGGCCATCAGGAGCACTAGGAGGAGCCAGAGGAACCGGATTTTTTACAGATTATCTGTCTCATGTAATACTGTCAGGATATCGTGAAAGTTCAGCAAATATGACAAAAAGTTATTTTTATACAAAATTATCTGCTGTAGCTTTAAAGTCTCCATGCCACTCTCTGGCCACCATATTTCTCTAGATCTGCCCCTGATTGTCTTTTATTGACTTTATAATACTTTTTCATATTTTATTGTAAATTTTCTATTTAAGCTTGTTAATAGTGCTTGCATTAATCTTTAAATTTTTTTTTCTTGTATTGTGTTCATTATTGATATGCGTCAAGTCTTGATGTTTAAAGCCAAATCCAACTTGATTTGACAAGTGAAACTACAATAAATTATATATTAGCCATACAGTGTGTGAACAGGTCCAGATCAAGCACCCCCCTCTCCCTGTGCCATTGGTTGCTTCCAGCCGCCCCGCCTCCGTCAGGCCTCTGGTGACAGTCCACGTTTGATAACGCATGAACTACAGCAGCAGTCGCCAAGAGGAGTCAGAACGCGAGAGGCTGCAGAGCCAGGGACAAGCTGCTGTCGATGCTCCCCCGAAGAGCTATACAGAGACGAGAGAACCGATGCGCAGCGCAGACAGGGGCGGACAAAGAATAAGAAACACATAAAGGGAGGACTGCACACGAAAGCAAAAGAATCCCTTTATACCGGCAAGCCTGCTGTATCCCTCCACACACACACACACACACGGTCATAGTGTTGAATCAATGAGCGTAAAGAGAGACGCCGGTGCGTAAAGTTGGCAAGGTGATCCGCCTCCGCTGTGAACATTATTACTGTCATTTTCGGAGAACCGCTGAGTTCCTGAGGTCCCGGCTCCAGCGTGGATTCCAGAGCCCATCATAGTGTCTTTATTTGTGGATGAGCGAGGCTTGTTGGATGGTAAGGTTTCCAGCGGAGCGCTGCGGGGACACAGTGGAAGGGACCCTGTGAACGTGCCACATGCGCGTGGAGGATATGGATTTGCTTTTGCTATAGCCAAAATTTGCCGCGGTTTTTTAAAATATTCATTTTTCATTTTTTGACTTTTTGTGCGTGTTTTTTAAAAAAAAAAATATATAGGCTATTGTTTGATTTTTTTTTTTTTACTCTTGAACGACCGCAGAGATTTCAAGACTTATCGTGCGGAAATACAACCATGAACTTTGTTGTCAGTTTGGTACAAATCCTTTTGGCAGCAGTTCTTCACCTATCCGCTGTAAAGGTGAGTTCCTGACTTTATATGCTCAGTGCTATTATTACTCATTGGACAGGGACTGCTTACTTCCACACGTGCAGCTTTCTCTGTCCTCGTTTATTTGCTATTTGGTCATACCTGCGTTCATTTAAATAACACAGTGTAATAAACATGCAGGGTGCTACAGATGCTAAAGTAACTAATACTAAACTATTTTCGTTTTTTTATTTTAAGATTTGCTTTTAAGATGCAGAGACAACCTTGATAAAGTATCAGGAGGTGTTTTTTTAAATAATGTAAGTCCATCATTGAGTTTCGGCATACATTTGGTTTAGCACAAATAAGGCTCAAATTAGGTTTGACTCCTTTTTGGCTACGAGACTAGTGAATTGGGTGTCTGAGTGGGAATCCGTAATAAAAGATTTGTGCCTGACTAAAGCGCTGAGTGTAGTTGAACTCGGATATTCAGCCGCAGGGTTGAGTCCTAGGCCCTTTAGTTCTCACGGATATGTAGAGTGTGAGGAAGCTAAGACCCGGTTCCTCCTGTCCTGCCGCCTTGTAGGATGCCCACCTCGTTCCCACACAGGCCGACCCGCTTTCTCACGCAATATCTGCGCCAGTTACAGCAGCGAGTGAACAGAGAGCTCCAGGGATGCGTCACCTCCAGTGTTTATGATCAAAACAAAAGCCGATTCCTGCTGGACTTTCAAAATAAAACTATGCCATATTCTAGCCATTTGATGAATTGGAGCGAATCATTTGAAATGGATGCATATTTTAACAAAATGTACTCTCTCTGTGGCTTTTAAATAATCTTGTAATTTTATGTGTACAGAATCTCACACACTGCTTCCACATATTGCAGACATCAAATGTTTTACATGTACTGTAATGGCCTGTTAGCTGTTGGGATTCATTCTTCAAGGTTAAAAAACATAAAAGCTTGGAATTAAATCACAATGAGACTTTTTAAGGATGTGTATTTCATTTTATTATCTTTTAGTTAAAGCCCTCACAAGGAGCTTTCATTTTGTGTTGATTCTGGCGGCCCCTGTGTACAAAAGAGGCAATGTTTAATGCATCTGTTTGCAGCTATGTAAGATTATTAAGTGTAATACTATGATGCTGAAACAAAGTAAACTTTGATTTAGAACCGTTCATACACCTAAATATACATACACACATACAATAATAATTTTGTTGCGAAAGCTAAAGTAATCAGCATTCGCAAGTAATGTCGTCATAATAACAACAGCGTCTTAAAAAGTAAATAATAATAAATTAATTGTAATTTTAGGACCTTAAATAAATAGGATTTTGACCGGCAGAAAATTGGATTAATGAAGGTAACGTTACTTGTATAAAATGGCATTTTTCAGTCTTGCTTTTGAATGGGTTTTGGGGGAAATGTGTATTGATCATGCTGTAACAACTGCAGAACCAATACTGATTGTCCTTCATATACTTCTTACTTTTTTGCCCTAAATTTAAAACCTGCAGAAACCATGACTAACCCAACAGCAAGATATAGCTCTGGAGCAAGGCCAAAATAAGTTACGTTACAAGCCACTTGTATTACAGTAACGTCCAACATTAACTATACCTCCATTCCACATCTATCTAGGTGGAAGAGGGCCAACCCAGGGTTGGTTTTAAATCCTTTCAAATAATTCTCTCTATCCGTTGACTCGTGTTTTCACCCTTGCTGTCACTGTCCCTGCTGTCACTGTCCCCTTTGCTTCCATAGGTCATACCAAGGTATCGCTATTAAAGTGAGACCAGTTAAAAACTCCTCGTTGTTCGTTTAACACACAGAACAGAGAGCAACAGGTTGCAGCGCTTTAATTTTGAAGGTGAATCAGACTCTTTCCTCCACTGCCGGTTTGTAGCTTTACAGAACTGATGTGTCTGATTGCACTTATTAACAAGCACAGATTGGATGAAGAGTAAGGCCTATAACAACCATGTTTTTAGTATATGACACCTCTTGTTACACCTTTATTCTTAATGATCACGAGTTATAGCTCACGTCGTGGTGAGGAGTGTTATCACACTGGTGATCACCTTTTAAAGTAATGAGTTGCCCGTAAAAAATGAGAATAAAAACAATGTACAGTAAATGTTAACAAGAGAGACAATTGTTTTATGGGTGATGATATTTTTATAGAGGCAGTGCTTCATGCAGATGAGAAATATTTAACCCCTGGTCTGATGTGCATTTCTTACAGACTGCCAGCATCAGCAAGGGAGTGGAGAAGAGTAAGAATGAGGGTAAGTTTTCTATTTCTAACAGAGCTGTTGAATTTAAAGACTTTTCCTGTGTGTAAGCCAGATGACCTCAGGGCCACCTGGTGGACATGTGCTGAACATTTGTCTCTCTGACTTGCTTGTTTCTTTTAAAAAATTGCATCTTTGACATGTGCTAGGGGTCATTGTTTTTCTGAATCAAAGTTCCTGGTGGCAAAAGGTCTGACTTGGGACTTTGGAGTCGCCATAAAAGCGGTGCAGAGTAAATTTGAGGGAAAAGGCGGAAATCAATCAAGGTCTCCATAATTCACAGTTGTTGTGTTTCTGTTTGTTTCCACAAATCTGTGGTGGAAGACACATGGTCAGTACGTGAGCAGCCTTGGTTCAAAGCCATACTCATGTTTGTTTCACAGCGACACTGTTGCGTTGAGGCCAAGGTTTGACCTGCTGGTTTGGTTGATGGATAGAGACACAGATTAGTCACTACAAACAGCATCACCGGACAAGCTGTGTGGCTGGTGTTAGTGTTTGTAGAAAGGGAAGTAAGTCTGCCATCTGCACGGTGCTGACCTTCACACGCCCACGCTGTCAGAGATCACACCACCTGTCAAAAGCTTTCATATAAACTGAGATAAAACTGTGGCCTGATTAGTCCTGATGGAGATCTCTGAACCATTATTGATTGAAGTCCACCTCAGCCATGATGGGTTGTGTCTCTGTCTGTGGCAAAGTTGAATTTTATAGAGTTTTCAAAGGCTTTTCTTAACAAAAGTTTCTCAAACAGGAGGAAATAGTGTTGGGAACTATTTTCAGCAGCTGATTAATCCACATTTAGTGCTCTATTGAGTGAAAACAAACTACAATATGTGTGATCATGGTAATGAAGGAACATGTCACCCAGTGCAACTGGAACTATGTTGCTCAGTGTGGACAACAATGGAACTCTACGGCACAGAGAGGGAAGATGATATACATAGGCATATGTATTAGCAAATGAAAAATGAAGCAAATCCTTGCAACCTTAGTTAGGAGGAAGAACCAGTTGAGTGTGTTGACATGAGGCTGTTGTCTACAGACACATCCAAATCCAACCAGCCAGTCCTGTAACCTACTGTTTTGGCTGTTGGTCATTTGTTGTGAGTCCGAGAGTCAGTCAATATGTGTACTATTTTTATTATTAATTTTTTTTCTATATCAGATGCTTTACCAGAGAGCTTCCATTGACAGAGCTGACCTCATCAGGCTTCCGTTAAAGTAATGTGACTTCCAGTGGACAGGAGTCATAGAACTTCTGATAGATCAATTTGTAGAATTTTGATAATATAACCATAAAGCTAACCGACTCAGTCTGTAGCATGAGTCCAGAGGCAGACCCTGTACAGGGGTGGGCTACCTGGGGTCACATGTCAGAGGTGAACCCTGGCGCCACAGTGCCTGAGGTCACGTCTCTTCTGACAGACCACGGGTCAGGAGTTAGAGAGGGGTCACTGGGAACCCAGTCTGATAGACTGTGGGACAGATTATTCTGGGCTGCACAGGGGCTGGAAATACAAAGAGGGCTGGCAGGTCCCTTAAGTAAGCTTCATTAAGTCTTGAGCTTTGTATCACAGGGTTCTACCTGACATTGTTATCAAAACTCTGTTATTAACTTTATGTTCGTATTACTTGATGCTTGTGTCCCATTTGCATTACAGTTCTGCAGAGAGGGTGTCAGAACTTTGTTGCTTCATAGTTTATATTGGTAAATGGACCTGTAAGTATTGTATAGCGCCTTTCTTTAGTCTTCCGACCACTCAAAGGTGTTTTCAAGGGCCCACATTCGACCTTTCCACCACATTCACGTCGGATGGAAAGTCCAGTCGAACAGAAACTTAACTCATTCAACACATCAGCCACAGCGATGCTATGCATCGGGGAGCCAATTTTGGGTTAGTATCTTGCTCAAGGGCATACTTTGACCACGTTGGCGGAGGGATCGCGGAATCGAACCAACAACCCTTCTGACCTTGCTGATTGGGGGAGACGCCGCTCTGCCCACAGCCGCCCCCCCCGATATTGTGCTCCACCTGCAGTAGATGATTTGATGCCAAGGTCACAAATTCATATGATTAAGTGTTGCCTTTTGCCCGCACTGCTGGTTGCTGCTTTGTAGCATCATCTAATATTTTATGACTATTTACATCAAATTGTTGGCAGGCCGCTTTCATCCCTGACTCGTAGCTAGTTTGACACAGACTCATTTAGTTTTTCCAGGAACAGAAAGAAATGTCATCATTTCTGGTCAGTTACTATTTATTTGCTGAACTTGTCTTAGCTGAATGTTTAGCCTGGAAAGGAGACAGCAAGTTGGGCTGGATAAAGCTTTTCTCACTGGCTATAAAGACGATGGTGGCGATAAAAAGTTGATCCTTTGGTCTTTTTTTAGTCATCCCTCTCACGGACGTCATCAGAAAGAGTATGTGTCAGCCCAGGGAGGTGCTGGTGGACATCTCCCACGAGTATCCGGAGGACACAGAACACACCTATGTCCCATCTTGCGTGGTCCTCAACCGCTGTGGAGGCTGCTGCAATGATGAAGCAATGGAGTGTGTACACACGGAAACCCACAACGTCACATTGCAGGTGAGTCCTGGGAACAACAAAATTGCCCCGTTGTGTTGCCCTATTATTGTCACATGTAATACGTGTTTTTGGCAATAAAACCGGAAACTGATTAATACATCTGTAGATGCCGTAGAATCTGCGTGTACAGCTGTTGCCTTGGTCAAAGTCTCCTGATCCAGTCCGATATAGCAAGTTTGAAGGAACTACTATTAAATCACTATTAATTGTAATTTGTGCAAACAATGACAATAACAACCTGAATTTTATTCTCAGGTTAACATTTTTTTAGTGGTACTTTGACAAAATTATTTTAACACAAAGTCCACTTACTGACATTTACCGAAACCCTAACCCTTTTCACTCATGGCCCTCATCATCGGCTGGAGTTTGCTTGGTTTTTTGGAGATACAATCAAATGATGGAGTATGGAGTATGTTGTATGTTATGTATCACATGACAACTGAGAAGATCCGTGATCTCCAAAGAAATCTAGCAAACTTAGTAGTTTGTGCTAGGGTTAGTCTCTCTATGTAATTCTTAAAACATGAATTATGAAAATGGATTGTCAGGCCAAGGCTTTGTTTTGTACACTCGGTGCATGTCTGGACTCTCTGAGAGACATGTAGTTCTCCCATCCAGAAGCAGAGCAGAGAAAGTGAAGTGGCATGGCATGGCATCTCAGATATGTTGTTTACCCTGGCGTAAATATGGCATGTTTATAGCCATGTCCATGTGGTTAAAGCCTCTCCTGGCCTCAGATAAGGCCTAGTGTTTGGAATGGATGTTGGACCTAGAAGTATAGGGATGCATAGTAACACAGACAGTTCACATCTTTGAGCCATTCAGCTACAGAGCAATCAGGGCTGTGGAGTTTAGAGGTTTGAGTTTAGACTGTCTACAAAGTCATGTTGATGTTGATTGAATCTAAAGATTGCCTTGTTATGTCCTCTGTTTTTCTTTAAGGTAATGCGGTTAAGGGCACTGGTATCGCAACACACAATTCATTTAAGTTTTACAGAGCATCAAAAATGTGAATGCAGGTAAGAGACTTTCACAGCTTTTCACACACAATGACAGTGATGAGGTAATAAAAGCTAAAATCTAAATCATCTTGCTCTTTTATTTTTCAGAGTAAAGCCAGATGTTCAAGCAAAGAAAGAATAGTAAGTACGTGTTATATGTTGTTTTTCTGTTTTGTATTCTGTTTCAAATGTCGGGGTCGGGGTTCCTTCCAGCACCACCGTCAATTTGGGGTGAAGTGGAGGAACGTTGCTCCAAAATGTCTATATAAATCGGGCAATGTTTGATTTAAAGAATAAGAAAACAATGTTGCGAACATTCAATGCCAGATTTCAGTTTATTAAGACGTTTTGATGCACAGTGCTAAGGACGCGTTGTAAGTTTCAATACCCAGTACTAGCTTTTTCAAATTTAATCTTTAGAAATGATATCAAGTTTACCAAGTGTACCATCATGTTTCCGGTAGATGTTGGAGGTACAGAGTAGGGCCTCAGCCTATCTTACAGTTTGAGCGTGCTCAAAGTTTATGGCAGCGGGTTTAGTGCTTTATGGTGTGGTGTGAGTGAGTGATTGAGGCATAGCTGGGCCGGCTTCAGACCACCCACTGCACTCTGACTCCAGTTGCACTTCCCAGGTCTAATCATAGCGACAGGTGTCATGCAGTTAACCTATTTTTATTTTTAGTGGTGTAAATAGAGGATGAGCTCGGAGACTGAAGTGTTGTCGTTGGTTGAGAGAACTCACTCGCTGTCACAGTTGACATAGGGTTGTGCATGAACATGCATGCATGAGGTTTGTGTGTCCCTTGAGGCCTGTCAGCGGTAGGTCAGGTTGTTTAATTGGATAAGAGAAGTGCGTGTCTGTTGAACTGTGCCTCGGCAGGTTAAAACCTGATGGATTGGTGGAGGAGAGATGGGATCATGTTAGCTAAGTCAAATCCGTTTGTCATGGGGATCAGCTGAGCTGAGCACTGTCCAGCCTTATTGGATGTCTGCCTGTCACTGTGCACGTAGGCACCCTGCGTCAGGGTGGAGTGGAGGTGCTATAAAGAGGATGTGCTCATTCATGCAATCAGTTAGAGGAGCATACTGTATATCCTGATACACCTAGCTCAGCCCTGTCCTGTGGATCAATATCCACCCCTGCTAATGAGATTAGAGCAGAAGTTCATTACCTCTTGTTTGGCTTTATCAGCTATTGATTGAACCCTGCATGAATGTTCCTGCATCTGCTGAGGCGACTTTTCTCTGTCTCCTGTCCTCTCCCCTGTTTGTCAGGATTAAGGGCCAAAAGCTAGAGACAGCATTTTTTCTTGGTGATACTAGAGGTGTGGACTCAAGCTACATGGCCTGGACCCGTGTCAGACTGTGACCAGAGTCACAAATTTGATGATTTTAGACACAAAATAAAAAAACCTTGCAACTCAACTTCGACTTTAACATCAGTGAATCATGACTTTACTTAGACTTGAACCTTTTGACTTGAAAATGCTTGATACCATCCCCCAAGCCAAAAGATTTAGAATTATGGTATTTAAAAAGTCTGCCTTGAATCAATTTACTTCCCTTCATTTACTAAATCAGCTACCATTAACGAAAGTTTGGGATTTGGGAACTTGTCAGTCTTAAGTGCAAAGACTTGCAAACAATTACTTGGTCCGACCTCTGGTTGATATCAACGAACATGGTATCTTCTGAATCAACTGTTTCATCTGAACACAGGTTTCATGTGGTACCTGCACTTTTTATTTGCGTTTTATGTTTACCCCATTTCTATGTCAACGAGATGAACTTGCCTCAGCATTTGTCGTGTTATCTCTATGAGGAATGGTTATCATTAAGGCTGTCTGCTGGTCTGTAGTGTGTTGCACTGATAAGTGCTTGCTCCTTCTACTTTCTGTTGTTGTCTGCCTGTAGCTTTTTATCTGTTGCCCTGTTTCCTTTTGTTACAGATGATAGGTGGCCACAGCAGCTACAGTCCAGTTAAAAGTACAAACATGTGGTGTGTTTAGCTTAAGACTGTTGTAGCCTTGAGAGGTTCACAGATACATTTTGCTTTGGGTTGCTTTGTTCTTGTTTTCTCACAGGAGGTCTAGAAGGTGATAGAGCATTGATCCTACTGCTTGGATGTGTGCTGTGCAAACCAAAATAAGTTCTGAGACAAAGCATTGTTCCTTGTTGCCCCATAGCAGCTACCCTTACATATCTAGTTGTGCCCTTATTGTGTCTCTGGTGTGACCTTCCATCTTATAAGCTGAGCGCTGTAACAGATACTGCAACAGTTATAGTGTCTACCTCAACTTTAGACTATTAGATGTGAATTTTTCATCTTTGTGTGCCTCTTATCGGTGAGGGTGTAGGTTTATTCTCAAGTGTTGGGAGGAGATGGCTGATTTGGTGTTGGCTTCAACTGCTTGACTTAAAGTTCTGCACTGATGATAGGTATTTGATAAATCCTAGAGTCATCCTCTGCTGTTTTTAAGTATTGTCTTTGCTCGTGCCAAACAAACTGTCATGGAAAGGTTAACAATTTGTCCTTAGAATTGATTTGAAAGCATGGCAATGCAAATTAAGATTGGACCCAATTCATTATTGCCTTTTTTTTTAACATTTAGGACATTAAGATTACTTTTTTCCTCTCCTAACAAGATGTAATTTGTGCTCCGATTGAAACAGAATGTTAGTGCAGAACATCTGATGTCAGTGGTGGAAGGGTCGGTTAGGGTTAGGATTAGGGTTGTCACTGTTAAAGATGCACTGATTTCCAGAAAACAGGTTTAATTTTTCTTTAAGTATAAAGTGATGAGCAGTGGGGGGGGATGTTGCATGAGTGTCTGTGTCTGCTCTTTCTGCAGAATTCGCTCTATAGCTTAGATCTCTCTCTCTCTCTCTCTGTCTCTCCCTTTTTGCTTCCCTTGCAGCCACTGTGCGCCTTGCTCAGAGAGAAGAAAGCGCTTGTTTGTACAGGACCCTCTCACCTGTAAATGTTCCTGCAAATTCACACAATTAGACTGCAAGTCCAGGCAACTTGAGTTAAACGAAAGAACTTGCAGGTTTGTTTACCATACATACACGATAAACATGCCTTGAACAACCCCCCGTCCCTCACCTTTTTTTTCCCCCCACTGGCCTATCCATCTCTCCACCCATCTCTGTGCGGATGGGCTTCCTGCTGAGAAACGCATGCTTCTCCCTGCTTTTTGGTGTTTTGCTGGTGTTTGTTGATGGGAATGTAGCAGCTCCGTGCTTCTCTGTGCTTGCGTTGTCTCTTGTCAGATGCAACAGTCTAATCAGATTTGGTGATGTCCTGAGATTACCACTGAAATGCTGTTTTTTATTCCAGTATGAATGTTTAAGATGTTACACATAGCTGCTTGCATGACAATATGTTATTTAGCCCAGACTTGAAACATTTGCAGAATTTATTATAAAAGTGTGGGTTAGGATTAGAAACCCACACATTCCATATTTAGGTCTGTCTGGATAAAGCGAACAGCAGCCATTATTCACAGTTCATACACAGAAGTGTAATCTCCACAATGATTCTGCTATTTGTTTATTACCCATCATCACAAGCTGTTGTTGAAAATCTTGTATCTCACAATGTTTCTTAGGTCAACAAGTGACCTTGAGATCTTTGAAGGGTAACCCTCTTGTACAATGACATTAAGTCAATTTACAAAAGAAAACAAAGCAACAACAAATACATGTATAATAGAAATAGCTAATAGAAAACCATTAAAACATTCTAAATAGGGCATATACATTTGATACATTAAGAAAATTAAAATTTTAACAGATTATTTGATAGATAAATTAATACAATAAAATAAAATGCAGTTATGTAAAACATCTATTGTGATATATGGAATCGTAACACCTGTATCGTGATATGTATCGTATCGCTGGATTCTTGACAATACATATTAATTACAATACCTAGTAATTTGGTGATTTTCCACTTAGGGCTTATAGATAAAAACATAGCAGTGAGTATCAAATCTGCAGAAACTGTTTCTGTATTTAACAATCCACAGACCTCACTGGGAGCACTTTTCATAGAGACTGTTTCTTGAAAGGAGTTCCAATGTAAGCTGTGTTTATATGTTAGTTTTCAGCATGTTCTGATGGCCCGATGGTCAAGGTCACAAGTCACACCCCCAACTCTCTCCCCTTGTTTCCTTTCCTGCTATCATTGACCTGCATTTTATTGGGCTGAAGGCAGCAATCTTAGAGACATAAGACCAACCCTTAGCGTGAAAAAAAATTCTTGACGTAGAAAATAGAAGGCTGACAAAAACAAATGTTAAGTCACTGTCCGCTTACTATCTTTTTAGTCCCAGAGCTTTCATGGTCTTTTGCTCAGTGATTTTTCCTCCATTTGCTGATGGAGGCAATGAGATACAGCTGGAAGCTCTTAGGAGGAAGTCAGACAGTGGACCTTGAATTTTTATCACAGAACTTTTTACATGGTCAGATATCACAAGAAGGAACTGAAACTATCATTAATTTTTTGAAAGTACGAAAACCAGAATTTGGAGATACAAGGTTTTCACATGTCATTGATTGTATATTTGTCAATCTGTAAGGTGAATTTCATCTTGCTTTGTTTCCAGTAGTCAAAAAAATACCTCATGCAGGTCTAGGGTAGACTGATAGTCTTCATGCTGCTTGCACGTCACATGTACCGGCTCTTACTCGTGTTTGCTAGTAAACAACACTCAAATACTAATGAATGGAGTTAAACTCATCACCCTGACTGTGTGCAGCACGTAGCCAGATTCACAACCTCTCCTGACCCAGCCACTTCCATGACCTCTGACCCCCAATGGACCCCACACATTGCTTTGGATTTACACACTTCTGGGTGGACTGACCACTGACGTGATTTCAGTTGGCTGCTCAGAGTTCAAGAGAAAGACTGGAAGGGACCTAAGGGTGGGGGGTCTCTGGAAATGGTGCCTGTTCACTCCCAGCACTCCACTTGACCCCACCCCTCAGTTCCAGCTTTAGCCCTGCCTCCTGAACCCTGAGCTACCACAGTCTTAGATTAGTTTATTTGCACACATGTACATAAAAAAGACAGAAAAGAAGTAGTTTGAACAATCTGCAAGAGAGGAGGGAAGCCAAAATGGCTTATGAAGATAGCTCTTCAGTATAAATAGCAATAGACATACTTAAAGCAAAGCTAAATTCATCAGTTCCAAGCTCAGTCTCAAGAATCAGTTTCATGAAGGTTAAATCAAGCGTACATTTTATACACAGCAAGTAAAAAGTACCAGGAGGTGGGAACTGACCCACACTATCTATCCCACAACCCTCCTCACTATTTACTTCTACTTCCTGTTCTGCCCCCGTCTCTTAATAATCCCTGTTTTGCATGGAGCAGTTATAGACTTTGGCTTTTCCTTCTCGCCACATAACCAGACTTTCATCCTGTCCTCCACAGATGTGACAAACCTAGGAGATGAGACCGGCAACACTGTTATGAAGGAATTATTTTCTTGGCACAGCACTTTGAAACCTGAGGATGCATTCCCTGCAAGGACACGAAACGACAACGCAAGACAGGACATTCTGGACTCAGATCTTGCCACTGTCTGTTTTCCGCCTAAAGATATTAATATATATGTACATATACTCTAAGTACATCGACAATGTGTATTGCTGCTACATAAAAAGACACTATTTAAAGCGAAACGAATGCGCCACTGGCGCGTGAATGGGAAATGTTTCTGTGGCGTTCTGCTTATGGGTAGAACTGGTAGAAGAAATCTTTTATTTTATGTAAAACTTCACTGGATGCTGGTCTGCTGTGGATATGAATATCTTAAATGTTTCTTAGTAAGAAAAAACTGGTGACCACAACATCATCTAACAGTGCAGCAGAAGCCGAACTCGCCTCAGAACTGAAAGTAGAGTCTGGGAGGAGACGGAGGAAGGACGAGGAGGCGGAGGTGGAGGAACTCCTGTTGTACTTGAACTGAATGGCAGGTCCAAGAACTGATTCCCTCTGTGACATGATGTGAAGTTTTGTCTTCGCTGTATGGACTGACTCCAGCAGTAAGAATACACCTAGAAAGTCTCTCAGAGTTTGCTGAAGTGACTGTGGGCGCAGATTATGTACCGGATAATGTGAAGATGACATTATTCCCTCGAGGAAGGGTTACACGATGATGGCAAGAACTGGAAGGTTAGCTAATAGTGAAGTCTTGGCAGGTAAAAAGACATTAGATTAGGGTTATGTTTAGGCCTATCCCTATAGGTGTGGGCAAGTAAACAACAATGTTGGCATTCAGGGTATGACAAGAGTTAGGAATTGGAAGCTTCGATCAGGGTTAAAGGTAACAAACCACTACCTCTTTCTGGTCCTGCGTCCTTCATGTAACTCTTCCTTGGGGGGGAAAACAGATTTGTCTTTCTTTTTGTACACAAAGTTTATTATTTACATGTTGAAGTATTGTGTTCCTTTCACAAAATGTCTTGAGACCAGGCTGTCTAAAGGGATATTTCTGTAGGTGTATACAGAGACAAGACGTAACTACACCAGCTGATCACAGATCAGATGAGCACCTCACTGTAGACATCCACAACCTTCCAGTTTCCTTATTTAATGGCTTTGTGTGTGTTCCAAAGAAATAGTCAGGCATCCACACCAGAGTAGTTTATCATAAATGATCTGTATATACTTACTAGATATCCCTTTGTCTAGTACACTAGATCTAATTTATAGAATATGTTCAGTATTCTGTATTCTGATATTTATATGCAGTGTTATGGTTATTTTTGTTTGTACTCAACTGTTTTCAATCTACCCAGAGATTGAATGGAGAACACATATGACTGTAGACTCCTTTTTTGTGGGAAAAAAGGACTGAAAGACAAAGCTTTGACATTCCTGATTTCAACTAAAGCTGTGTTTCTCACGAGCCGGAGGGGAATCATGGTGGGCCTGTTGACCGATAGAAACCCCAGACGCCAACATGTGCTTGCATGATGCGCCAACACAGGTGTTTTTCATTTTGGACTGGAGTGATGGACATGTGGTGTTGCACTTGTGGGCCCGAAGACACGTCATATGGAGGACTGAAGGAGTCTCGTTGCTGCCGCTCAGCTCGGACCTAATTTAGTGAAGACTGTCCAATCAGATTGAGGCCTCTAGTCTGAGGGTGATAAACTGGCACAGATTTTAACCCAGGCACTAACAAAGCATCCTCGCTCACTATTCATTGAGATAATAACTCTTAATAACTCGTGCTCAGATGTGTCATTTGTACCGTCAAATTCCTGTAAAATACCGTAAAGGGATGTCAAAAGTCACACCAAAGCTAAAACCCTGAATACAGTATGTGTGTTTCAGTCAGAAATCTACGGAAGACAATCAGGGCCACATGTGATTTTTTTTTTAATAAAATAAATAAGTTTTTTTTAAGTCAGAATTCTGAGTTTAAAGTCAGAACTCAAATATTTTTTTCACGTGGCCCTGATCGTCTTCATTCAATTATTCATTCAAAAGTGTGAATTATTTATTGTACTGCAGAACATGGCTTCTCCTGAATGCTACCTGTGTTTCCGTTAGTGCCGACTGTACCACTGCTGTTCATGTGAACTGACCTTCTGTGCCACCATCCTCAAACTGGGGGCCTGAGAGAGACCGGCTGCTGGCTCGGTGCCCGCACCTCTCCAGTCCTCTGGTGATGACAACATTCTATTTGTATTTAAATGACAGACTTGTTCTTGAGTTTGTACAGCCACACATTTTTAGTATATTTTCACATTAATATATTTATTGGTGCTGTAAAATGTTTTACAATATTAATACTCTTTTTTTGTTGTTTTTAGTGTAACTATTATATTCAAAACATAGTTTATTTGCAAAATACATTGATTTTTTTCTTATTATATGTCACCTAGTTTGAAAGCATATCTTTTCTGTGCTATCACAATTATGTGTGAGGATACCAGTTGATTGCGGACGCAAGAGGACATGTGACATATTTCACATCCTGGTAGCATCATCTAATAGACACGATCATACCCGCCACCCATATATATTCCCAAAAAATAGCCTTATATAGACCCAACATATATATCATATACCGTATATGATTAGTATATGATACCTATAATGATATACGTTTTATCAACCAATTTGTGTTCCTGTAAGAAATTATTCTGTTTGTTATTGTCCAAAATATTGGACAAACCAAAAATCTACAAAAAAATATTTCTCTGTTCCAAGTTATTGAGTACATTTAACTTTATATCCAAAATGTCAATGCAAGAAAACTCAAGCACAATCTAAAAGTATGTTGGCTTCACACATGATCGTGATCACCTGTGCAATAATTTATGACAATCTAATAGTTGTTGAGATATTGACCACAATATAACAACTGTCAGTCTTGACCAAACTGGTGGACCAACCATAGACTATATAAATAAAAATGGACTCAATGTGGTCAGCTTAAAAAACAAAAATGGGCAAAGAAGTGAGGCGTGGGTGGAGCTGAGGCAGGCTGGATAAAGCCTGCTTACTGAAAACAGCCACCTGTGACAGCACTCACCTGTCACTCAAAGCAGCTGCACTCTTAATTATGCATAACTTTTCTCCTTAATATAATTTAAAAGGGTGAGTTATGTAAAGATTCACTCCCCGCACAGTTGTCATGAATTACATTTTTTCAATTCAATTCAATTCAGTTTTATTTGTATAGCGCCAATTCATAACAAAAGTTATCTCAGGACACTTTTCAAATAGAGCAGGTTTTAGACCGTACTCCTAATAAAATTATTTACAGAGACTCAACAGTTCCCACCATGAGCAAGCACTTGGCAGCGGTGGCAAGGAAAAACTTCACACAGCTTTAAATTGTGTGTCGGATTTAGTGGCATATAGTGGTGAAGTTCCAACTAATTTAACACCACTCGCTTCAGTATTTAATGACCTATAACGGAGAACGTTCTGTGAAGTGTGTAGGAGAAATTGGCCCTGTTGAGAGCTAGTGTTTGATTTGTCCCCTCTGGGCTACTGTAGAAACACGTCGGTTCAACATGGCGGGCTCCATGGAAGGCAACCCGCTCCCTCTGTAGATACAAACAGCTCATTGTAAGATAATGAAAACACAATTATTCTTATTCAATTCCTGACCTGTTATGTACTCCATGACACTATTGATGATGTAGGCGACGCTACTATGTCTGAGGGGGAAGCTGCTAATATTATTGATACGTTTTTCATTTATAATGCATTTGGAGATGCATTCAAGTACAGTCATAAATTTGTGTTCCTGTAAGAAATTATTCTGTTTGTTATTGTCTGAGTATGAGATATTTAGGGTGTCCAACCCTGTAGTGAGGATGGTGAGTCCCTAATAAAGCATACAGAAGGTTTAAGAACATGTGAACTTTGTTCATGCTTCTGAGTGACAGCTGACTGGAAAACATGTGAGAGTTCCTGTAACATGAACTCCTGAGTCAGGAGCCATAAAGACAACGTGGGAGTACTTCCCTACCTCTGAGGTAGCTTCCACAAAAGATTAGGAATTAAAGTGTTGAAGCACTTCAGTATAGCCGATTTGAGGCATAAATAAGGCCTGGTAAGAGTCCTTGTGCTACTAAATACTCCCAAGAATGCTGCATATGATTTGATCTGTGATTAAAGGGGAATTTTCTAAAATCAGGCCAACTTTGCCCTCTTGTTAACTAGCAAAGTGAGTGTGGTTGGACTTTAAACTGCTCCCTGACTAATGCCGCAGTAACCTGGGAACAAGCTATCTGTCATAGCTTTCATGGGATTAAAGGGACAGTTCACCCCCAGTATCAAAAATACATATTTAATACATATGTTTAATATTAAGTCAAATTAAGTTCCTATGAACCGCCATGGTGGACTGTAGAGAAAAAAGGCTCAATTCTAAGTAGGGGCATTTCCAGACTTCTTTGATTGGGGTGGCACAAGTTAGGCTCTGACTTCTGCAGTGGAGGCGTAAAGTATTTGTCTCAGCTTTCCATTCATTTCTCAATTTGTGTAATCCCAACACTGTTTATGGACCCTAATATGCAGAAATATACAAATACACTAAGCGAAAACATTTTCATTCAGATATCTTCAGTTCAGAGGTCAAGGGATCCCTTGAAAAATGGCCATGCCAGTTTTTCCATCACCAAAACTTAGCTTAACTTTGAAATGTGTTGTATAGCCCCTGTCCTGACAAGCTACCAATGGATGCGTTAGGTCTTTTAGTTTCATATGATACCAATATCTTCCCTCTAACTTTAAAACAGAGCCCACTATGGCCTCTGAAAGACAGAGGGAAGGATAATGGGGTGGAACTTTCGCCCCTAATTCTAAAGTAATGGAAAAACATTATTATTTTAAGGTTATACGATTTTATTCCATTTCTGCCAATAGATCCTCCTAAATGTTACACACTTGGCCTTTAAATTGTGTTCAAAGTAGATAAATATTGTAGCCTTTGCATCTAAAAAATACAGTTGTAACTGAATTCTGAAGGTTATTTTCAAACACAGTTGTACATCAGGCCAGAGCTGTCCAGGACTAATAGGCCTCTTGGACTGGTAATTGGGAGCACTGGGAGCAATCCTGGTGGGCCACTTGAGCAGCACTTGCGTTGTCAGCCTACTTTGGTTATGCACCAGCCCACATCTTCCTCCCCAGTATACAAACGTGGAATATCTGCGGATTGGGGATCAGATTTTGCAGTCTATGCCACACATGTGCACCCATGTGCACCCTGAAACCACAAATCCCAGTTTAACCCCTGGTTGTACTTCTCCTCATAAACTGTGCAGTGAGTTGAGAGATAATATTTCCACACATGCTTTGGCTTCCAGTTTTACTACATGACACACGGAAAGTCAATTCATCTTAAAACGGTTAATCCCGTCACTGTTAACACAGTCACTCAGCAGGAAAAACAAATTTCCTTTATGCCAAAACTGTTAGATGAATCATTCAGACTTCATGAATGGAGTGAATGATGGAATGAGGAACAGCAAATAGGGAAGGAGGAACCACTGGAAACTCTACTTGGTTCACACGGTCATGAACGTGTGTGTATGTGTGTGTTTTATAGTCTGCTTTTATCATGATGAGGATGATGATCAAGTCTTGTTTGCATTTTTTCTTGGATTTCTATTTCCAATATTGGATATTTGCCCAAAACAGGCAGAATGGAGTCATAGTGAGGCTGCAAATCCTTAATAAATCGCTAATAAGTCAACCTCTGAGTGACTATATAGCACACTGCATGGTAGATGATTTGTTGTGGAGGCACGTTTTAATACACACTCAGTATTGTTTGGTCTATTTTTACTGCGCAGAAAGCTTCATTGAACATGTAACATGTGGGCATCATGCAACTAAAGTGATAGATTGAGAGAGACACTGATTGTAAGGGCAGTCACGCCCACCTCTGCCTTTTCTCAGTCATATCAGTCTGGCTTGGTCTCACTGGGAGTTAATGTCTACCAGTCTGCAGAGTGAACACTCTTGCAAAAGGAGGTGTAAGAGTGTGTGTGTGTTAATTCATGTAGGCATTTGCACTGGAGGAGGGGCCGGTTGGGGTGGGGTGGAGTGAAAGAGGTTGCAGCATCTTAGCAGCATTTTCCACTCCCCCGTGTCTGCGTGGTGTAACCTGCTTCTGATTTTCCTGAGTAATTATTGAAGTGGAAAGTCAACGGTTGGGAAACTGTGCTGCTGCTGAGGGCTACGCGGCCGTCTTTTTTAACTTGAAAAGAGCATTCCATTCTCTTCATTGAAAAAAGCTCTTTTAATTAGGTTTCTTGGTCAGAAGAACTGTATTGTCCTTAGATTATATAATGTGTGTATTATTGTACATAAGCTTCCTAGCTTTTTTATTGCTCTCCATGGCATTGCTGTAAAACAAAGATTTAGCCCATATATTTTAATGTATAATGTACACACAATCACTGTTGTCAGGCTGTTGACTTTCACACCAGATTTAGCAACTCTTCTTACACTCTGGCTACAAGCGACACATCTAGCAACTTTTTTCAGATTAAATTTTGCTGACTGCCAAGTCATTAAGCAACAAATGGGAGCAGCTGATGCCAATGCATGCACACTGGGCTGCCTGTTGATCACTGCAATTCGTGTGAAACACTCCCCCTTCACCAAAAGCAGTCCGTAACACCTACAGTATGGTCATATGCAAATCATAATATGACATGATATGTCAAGTTGTGGCAACTTTCAGACTGTCCAAATACCATACAGTTATTCCTCTTGAAAATTTCCACATTTATAACACCAGGTGTACGCCATGTCCTGCTCACCTTTTCTTGTATACATCCCAATCAACATCAAATTGACAGCACATGCAGCCACTTACCCGCCTTGCCTCCTCCCATAAGTTACTATGCAAATTACTATAAATACGCCATCTTCTGTCCAAATCCCAATGGCCAAAACACCTGCAAAACAAAACAAAAAAGAAAAACTTGAGATGTGAGTGACAGATCGAGGTGTTAATCACTGAGGTGGAGACCAGAAAAATAATTAGATTTGGTGGTTTGTCCTTTGGACTAAGCAACAACAGTAAATTCACAGAATGGCGGCGAGTAAAAGACGAGTGACATCTGCACAGTGTTGCTGCTACAGGTAGGGGCTTGGGAAAGCCAGAACTGACGGCACATGAAGAAAGCGTTGTTTGAATTAGAAGCCCTCATCTCTGCGACCACACATGTATGTTACTCTTAGCTGTATTGCTGGGTTCATCGATCCACAGCTCCTTCAGTCCTTCAGTCCTTCAGTCAGCCCTTCTACCAAGCAAGGCCACAACAGAGTTTACATATGTAACCAAGTCTGAATCTCCTCTGTCTAATGGTA